GCCAGGTACGCATTTACATCTATCGAAAGCAATTTTGAAATCGAGTCGCTGGTCAATCCTGTGATTACATCTCTGGAAGCCGTTACAGCCGACCCTCGACCATGGCAAGTGGGCACAGGGTATTGACCGGGCGATGATACGCTAAGCCTGCTCCTCTATTCTGGCTCTAATCAAGAATACACATGATGGCTGCTGCGAAGTACGGCAAGTGCAACACCTGAACTGCTCCACATCAAGAATACACATGATGGCTGTTGCGAAGTACGGCAAGTGCAACACCTGAACTGCTCCGTATTGATGTGTACGTGTAGGTGTGTATACGTATAGATGTACAATGTAATCATGGTCTCCTCACTTCGAAACGGCTACAACCACCACGTCCACAGTAGTATGTGGAGATTGAGCCACGACTGCTAGCATGCTGTCTTTCGCTGGGGAACAGCTGACAGGCAACTCAGCCAATCGCGCTGAGGAGGCTAGGCTGGTGGTTTTTGGACACAGCACTGCAGCAAGATGCCATTTTAGTATCCGGGTTACACGCGCATGGTCGGACCTGCTGTCGCGCCAACAAATCACTAACCAGCTCCAAAAGAATAAGAAGCAGAAGCAGCACAGCTACAGTGATCCGCCAATCAGATCGACCGTGGGTCTTTCACGCCTGTCGTCTTATCAACCGATGGCACGGTCGGCAAGGAATGCTCTATTTTCCAAAGACCTTGGCGTACCATATCAAATGCTGATTTAGCATATTCTGTCGTTGTCAGCCATTTGCGATGCCTCCTTTCCGATGTTCTGTTTGCTTCGGTGGTGCATCACCTGCCTGCGTGGCCGCAACATAATCACGGTTAGACGGATCAATGACACTGTGTTCTTCTCCCCCCTTTCCGGTGGTGTTTTTTACCACTATTGATTTCACAATCTATTTCGAAGTATTAATTTTCTTTTTGCCAGAACAAGAGGCTTTAGTGCACAGTAGCTAGAGGTTCAGTGTGAGTTGGTAGTGCACGACCAACTTACTTTGCTGCGGTCTACATGCAGTACAAGCACATACATATAGTACTGAAAACAATTGCACGAAAGGCAGAATGTGGTAAGGAATGACGACTCTACTCAAATGCAAAAGAAAATACTACAAGTTACGATATAATGTCCACTAACACCACCAGGTGCTAAACAATCAGCTCATGCGATAACATTGCATGACACTGACCAACGGTACTGACGTTCTACACCTAACTGGCAATCAGCTCTACACACTACATGTAATATACTAGTATAGCACATCTTGGATGCGCACTCCAACAGCCTTCCGACTTGGAAGGTTCCAATTTATACTTAAAAGAAATAATTTTTAATGAGTGGAACGTGAGCGCAACCAAGATAAGCACGACCTGAAAGTCTAAGCTGTGAAGGACTTTGGCGGATGTTCGTGCATGTCGATGACGATATTGGCAAGACCATTGGACAAAACGGTCAAACCACGATTCAAGGACGCAAAGCAACATTCCACACAACCTGTGTGGTTCAAAAGATGTGAAGATCAATAAAAGGGGAAGCTATGTGAACAAGAATCATGCAAATCCAAACGCCTCAGTAAAGGAGCACTGTACTTCAACTATGACAATTTACATGGACAGTCCCATATCTTTGCTGCCAATAGCATCGAAGATCTTGGAGAAGATAGTCCACAAACGCCTGTGTGACTTCTTGCAAACCCATTCACTTTTGCCCGCCAATCAGTTTGCGTACCGGCCGCAACACTCCACGGAAGATGCCTTGACCTTGGCCATGGACCGCTATCTGTCGTCAGCAGACCACCAGCTACATACTGGCGCAGTACTAGTGGACATGAGCAAAGTATTCGATAAAGTACGGCACCAGCTCATGATCCAAGATTTGTTTGCTTTGGGTGTATCTTCGACTGTTTTGCGTTGGTTTGCGAGCTACTACACGGACCGTCGACAGAGAGTAGTTCTGGCGAGTGGGCAGTGCTCGGGCATAACTGCATGCGAGTGTGGAGTCCCTCAGGGCAGTGTACTGGGTACTTTGCTGTTTTCACTATAATTATACCATGGACGTCCATAGCGTCACCAGCCCAGCACACTCCCAGCTGTTTGCGGATGACATCCTTCTCGACACCGCAAGCAGATCCGTAGCAACCCTAAATCAAGTCTTATCAGTTGCTGTGTCAAACTTGGCTGACTACCTACACGGGAAAGGCCCGGTTTTAAACCCTGACAAGACGCAGGTCTTAGCTTTCTGGCCCTACAGATCGATTCCTGTCTTCTGTGGGACGCGCAGGTCTCAAGCATAGTACGGAAAACTTCCCAGAAGCTAACCACCCTGAGAACCATCCGCCCGTCGCTATCTGAACGCCAGTCGCTCCTCTTCTATTCTGCCCTTATACTTCCTGACATGCTTTATGGATCAAACGCGTTCTTCTCTGCCCTCACGGCTCAGCAGCGGCACCAGCTCGACAAGCGATGTGTTCGCTGCGTAGCCAATCTGCCCTTCCCGTCCCATACCACTCCTATATACACTCGCCTTTCCCTGACCCCTGTAATTGAACGTGCCAAATGCAAACTCCGTTTCCTTATGCACCGTGTCCACACCAGCAACATCAGCCCTCTTCTGAAAGATAGAGTAGCCCTCCAACCTCCCAGTAACACCCGTGGCAATGACAATTGCAAATACGTTGTTCCGCTAACTCGGCGAATATCTGGTGACAGCCGACCATTGGTTTCCGCCGTGAAGCTTTGGAACACCCTGCCACAGGAACTCACGTCCGCTCGTCGTCCAACCCCGTTTAAAAGATTGTTGAAAGTGTTTTTCTACGGTTAATATGGCCAAATAGCACCTCCCTCTGGCATAGGTCCTCATCTTCCTATTTCTCCCTGATTGTTACTTCGTTCGAACTGGACTTGTAATTACCGATACAAATACTTCCTTTTGACTGTTTTCTCATTTTCGCAAGTGAAGCTTTATCGAGCCACACTTTTTATTCTATCGCCATCATAATATTGGGCATCAATGCCCGTTTGGTTTGCGATGTATAATAAAACTTCAAACAAACAAACAATAAGCAGCGGTAACAAGCAGCAGTTTCACACGAAGATCATTTCGCCGTATAGGTAAGGACGGCACATGAGCTCATCAGGTGTGCAGTAATAGACTCGGATGGAGAGCCAAGGATTTATTTATAGAACAGAAAATGGACCAAAGAACTACAAGGTACGGTACAATGTTCACTAACACCACCAGATACTAAGCAATCAGCTCATGCCATAACATTGCACGACACTGACCAAGGGTACTGATGTTCTACAACTAACTGGCTAATAGCTTTAGCACATCTTGGATACGCACTCCAACAGCCTTCCAACTATTACTTGGAAGGTTCTTAGTTATAGAAATAACATAAGGAGGGAGAGGTGAGCGCAACCAATATAAGCACGAGCTGAAAGTAGCTCAGCTGTGAAGGACGTTGGCGGATGGTCATGCATGTCGATGACGATACATGTACAAGTACTGGCAAGACCATTGGAAGATTGGGGTGTTGGCGTCCAGTGTACAGACACCAGTCACATTTCCTGTGTCTTTTGCAGCATACAGGATGAGACTCATCACTGTAGAGTCCACTACTGCACGAGTTTTATTTGTACAATACATAGCAGGCGTACACGGTGTGCCTCGCAGGACTGCGTGATGCTGCAGAAGACCAGGTTCAACCTTTCTGGACGGCCATTCACCGACGGTGGGCCACACGATGCTGGAGGAATTAGATTCCAGTGAAAACCCAAGATTCTTTTACTCCTGGACGCTCCGACGTGTTGTGATATCTGCCAGGTGCGCAGTAACTAGTATTTTCATCGCTATAGCGAGGACGACGCCGATCGGCAAACTCTCGCTCACAGCCATCACCAGCCTATCAAAACCATCACTTGGCATCCCCCAGAGGTATAGGAGAAAGCCAAAACACCTACAACAAACAAAAGCTAAGGACGCTGGAAAGAGAGCATGTCAAGAAGAAGACGAACAGTATGAAGTTCAAATTGTTTTCAACACTCCTACCACCAATTATAGTATACCGCTTTCAATAAATCGTGACGCCATTTTGTTTTAACACGTATATCGCGGGTTGAAAGACCACGAATAGCTGCCAAACTCTGAAAATGTTGTCTCGATCTGACCAGGTGTTCAAGAGTTATGGCCGAAAATGTGCCCTTGCAAGGAAACATTTGCTTGTTGCACGCTGTCAATTTTAGGCAGCACGGTATTTGAATCTGCGCAGACCGTGTGCAACTTGTCGTATCATGGAAACAAGCGGAAGTGTGCAGAATTTTGCTCCAAGTCCAAAAAATCACGTTTTAAGCCACGCATTGGGCTGCACGGCGGCGGGCGAAGCGGTGGGCTTCGCCCGCCGCCTTGCAGCAGGACTTTTGCCAGCACCCTCGTGACGTTGCAGATATGTGGCTTGATTATTGTAGTTGACGTTAATTATTTAGTGACTTTGGCAAGTTTGAGTCGTGTGAAGAAGTCAGGTAGGATTCAGTACTTCAAGGCAGTAGTGGAACGTGAGTGGAAGTCTTTGCCGATTTTGGCGGGTATCCTGGATTTGGTTTGAAGCGCTGTGGAAATGGCTTGCTGTGGAGGTCCCAGCACTGGATGTTGTATCAAAGGTACGACCTCGTAGCACGCCCTGAACCTTAAAAAAATTCAAAAATTGACTTGGGTCTGTGGGAGTGTGTGAGAGAACGCCCACTCCTGCCGTTGTGACAGATTCCAGGGCCACGTTGAAGGGCCCTATCTAGCCCTTTCCCAAAGATGCCATAATTTTTCGCAATTTATGCTTTTCGCAACCGTGCCAAAACAAGTGCCGCATTGAGCCGCACTGTTGTAACTTCTATCACTTCACAATACTGACGTTGTGCAGTCACAAAGAAATGCACTAGCACAGATAGAGCACAGCAACAAGGCTGGTTAGATGTCAAACAACATACCGAGTCTCCAAACACGTGGTAATAGTCCCTTAGTGATGTCATTTTGCGGTACCTGGTAGAAGAATCAGACGGAGAAAATTGAAGTGGAAACACAATCCCAATAGACTGCTGGGCCAGCACACCCATACCTGCAGACCCACCACGACACATACCTTTGCCACTAATGTCACTGTGTGTACTAGCAATCTTCTGGCCTCTGCGTCAAAAGGTGGTGGTCTAAGAAAGCTGTAACGCTCCGTTAATCTTTTATTCCCATCAAATTTGTGCACCTCTGCCGAAAAGGGGAGAGTGCACCCTACTACCACACGTCGACAGGGACTTGTAGCATGGAACGCTTCACTGTACAGTGTCATTTCATTCTTAAAACCCGCGATCTCGTGATTGGAAACTACATATACCACTGTGCTGTATGGGACACGGACACAGACAGAGACACACACACACACAGATGCACAGACATGCACTCAGACACAGACAGACACACAGACAGACAGACAGATAGACAGACAGACAGACAAACACACACACACACACACCACGGGCCGTGCTGACACCTACCTGGTAATGTCAAAATGTAAGTACATTGATGTAATTCCACTGTCTTTTCCAGGACCATCAACAAAAAAATACTTCCGCAGCAGTTCAACTTTTGTTTCAACGTCATCCTGTAGGAAATGAAATAGAAGTCACAGCACAAGTAAGAGTTGGCCAGAGGGACTTTACAGCGCGAGCAGAAATTCCACTACCCTCTGGGGTCAATGTGCGGTTGAAGTTCTTACAGCAGTAAGTTTGGGTTAACCAGACCCATTTAAGTTGTCAATGGCGGATAATCAAATTAGCTGTATCCATGCGACCCTCATGCCAGGTCACGAGTAGCTGACTAATAAATATATCCGTACGGTCGAAGTTACAGGGTTGACTGTGGCTCGCACTATGGCCAGAAGAATAATTCCGCTTGCAAGCAGGACTTGAACCTAGTGCAATCTGTTGTTCAGTCATCGTATTACACCATCCCAGTTTGCCTGCAGAAAGAAAAAGGACCACCGTGACATTGCACGTGTCTGTTCCTACCTGGGTAAGCCTCTGCGGATGCATTCCAACCACAGCCATACAGCCACCGGCTAATGGGGTACGCAGTCAGTGTCTGCCAGTACCTGCCAACGCACACCAACACAAACAACACACACACACACACACCACACACACACACACACACACACACACACACACACACACACACACACACACACAATCATATCAATATCGAACTGCGAGTATAGAAATGTGATTTCATATGTCATATCAGCATACTATCGAGATACTAGTAGTGCATGACCAGCTATACTGGTCGAATACAATGATCTAATATTCAACATGACTTTTAATGGCTACCAGTAGCACCTGTTGTACTAGTATTGTAAGTACTGCGAGAGCGGCCCGCCTTGATTTCATATTTATTTATAACCAAGGAAAAGAAAATCGTATGGCAGAGTGCAACTGAAATTAGTACGGTGGGAGAAATGTAGTGTTAAAGGTCAGCATGTCCTTGTGTGGAGTTCCAAGGTAGACTGCGTGCGAATTGACTTCAAAGTGTGCAATGTGTGTACAAGGTATGTGTTGCATGACCTACAGACCACCTCTACAGCACGACCACGAAAGGACGAGTTGGTGGGGCGCTCACGCGGTACTTTACGGTACCTACCTACCCCCCCCCCTCAAACCCACACAACAACCCCCTCTGCTTCCCTCACATCCACACAACAAAACAAATTGCCATGATAGGAAAAGTTGAGTACCAGTATGCAGTTACCAAGTTCCAGTCCTTGATTTTGACACAGGCAAACACGACTGGGTGCGCAACCACTCACCCAAGATGGCAATGGTGGAGAGATGCTCATACCGTTGCTCCGACTTGCTAACGTCTGAGATGAAGCTAACATAGCGGTTGTGGAATGCTGATAGTCGAAGGGTACCAGTTGCCTTGACTGGCCATGACTGTAGCAACGTTGACAGAACTGCAAAACAAACGTGTGTTCGGTTTGAATGGATATGTGGCTGTTCCCAAACATAGAAGAATGCAAGGCACCAAATACCAGAGAAGCCTTGGCAAGACATGAAGACACCTCAACCGACAACAGACTGTCGCCAGCAATACAGCTACCTAGGTAAGTGAGTTCTTTCACAATTTAGATGTCGGCATCTGAAAACACCAAGCACTCGGAAAAAAAGTGGATCAGAATTGACGACCATGCACTTTGTTTTATCAAAGCTGACAGTGAGGCTGGACTTGGTAGCAATGCTCACGAAACATTGCTCACACATATTCTCATCATTGCTGGATGCTTCCTACTGCATATCTGTCAGAATAATATGACATTGTCTAACAGCGCAGTCATATCCAATAACATGGTATCCAGACAGTGAATCATGCATTCACTTGGGCCGCATAGCGATCTACTGCAGCGACCGCCTTGCAGCCCAGCTCGCACACCTTCAGCGC